TCAGGTCGTGGCAGGTGCCGCCGTGGGCACAAGGGCTGCGGGCACAGTCGCTGATGTGGAGCTCACAGTGGGTGCCTGTGAATCCGGGACGGCAGCGGCATATGCGGTTCGGATCTCGGTTCAGACACTGGCCCCCTGTAGGTACACACAGGGCACAAGTCAGCCATCGCCTGGGAGCCCCTCTGGTGCAGAGGGTGAGTGCTCCATCCCGGGAGCGAGCTCGGGTCCTTCTGCCCCCGTGTCGCAGCGCCCACGCTGAGGAGCATTGCCCGAAGAGTCTGGAGACCTGGAGTTGAGGTGACCCTGGCTGCTACGTCTTCATGGGCTCATGTCTAAAAATTACTAGCATCTCACAGAGCGTTATGGTAGAATCAGACAGATGAGCTTGGGTTTGAATCTTAGCTGTCTCTAGCTGTGGATCTGGCACCTGTTGCTGTACCTTAGTCTAAGCCTCCGTTTCCTTATTTGTTAAATTGGAGTCTAATGCTATCCCCGCCACAGGAGATCTCGGAGGGTTAGGTGGGATGATGCAGGAGGGCAGGAGTATGTGCCTGGTGTATAGTAAATGTTCAAAGAAATGTAATTATCATGGTTTCATCTAATCTTCACAACCACGTGAAAGACAGAAGACAGGTATTATATTTCCCATTCGGTGACGAAGAAACTGTGGTTCCAGGGAATTAACTGAGTGATCAGCCAGATAGCAGACGCCATCTCAGCCTTCCAACTCCTTTCCAGCTCCTGGGGCTTCTCCCAGGCACAGTGCGCCTGCCTCAGGAAAGTCACCAGGGAGCCAAGGAGACAAAGATACCCAGCATGCTTTGCATCCCAAAAGATGCTGAACATTCTAGGTGCTTTGTGCCACACCAGGCTCATGTGGTCATGCGTCAAGGTGAGGTCTTCAGGAGCAGGGCCCCAACCTCACCAGCCTCCCTGGTGAGGAGGGACAGGAGGCCTCCAACGTCCCTTTCTCTAGCCCAGGACTTCCTGAGGAGGGTTAGAGGCCACCCCAGCAGGGACAGGGCTCTGATGGGAATAGGAATAGGAGCCACTCAGGATATACACTACTCCTTCTCCTAAGGTCTGCACCCACTGCTAACCTGCTCCTCTTCCAAAGCTACCCAGGTGATCAAGCAAGCTCGTCACCACCCAGAGCAAAAGGGGACCCGTGTCAGCCCGCCTGGAGTGACAGGCAAGGCCTCTCTCCTCTCCTGACTCTCCCTCACCAGAAGGCTCTGTTGTCCCCAGGGTGGGTATATCGAGTTAGCAAGACAACAAGACGCACCATTGGCACACGGGTTGCTGGTACACCTGTCCACTTTCTTCTCGCAGTTGGAGCCAGTGAAGTTGGGAGGGCATTCACAGGCATAGCTGGTCCCCTGGTTGCGCTCCCGGCAGGAGCCCCCATTGAAGCAAGGGGAGTTTGCACAGCTCAAGGTGCTGTGCTCACAGTGCAAGCCATAGTAGCCCGGGGGACATAAGCAGTGGTAGCCATCCTCCTGGTCCTGGAGAGACACCAGAAAAGGGCCAAAGTCAGACTCCGGGGCAGGAATGTGTGGCTGGGGGTTAGCTCCCGCACGCCCACAATGCCTGCCTATGGCCACCGGGAGTGAGAATGCCTGGGAACCACCCCTGCCTGGGTCTCACCTTACAGCTGCCTCCATTGCGACAGGGGTTGCCGTCACACTCGCTGAGCTTCAGCTCACAGTCCACACCAGTGTAGCCTGGACGACAGGTGCAGGTGTAGCTCCGCTGCCCACTGTTAGAGCACGTGGCCCCGTTCTTGCACGGGGAGTGATGGGTGCAATAGTTGAGATCTGTAGAGACAGGAACCAACCAGCTGAGCAGAGCCAGGGAATCATCCCCACCTCCAGGCTTCTTGTAGTGTAAGTTCACTGCCTACGTTTGGCCCAGAGGTTTCAACTCAGTCTTCGAGGCCCAAACACCCTTCCTCCTCCCGCCATGAATCCTGTATTGAAGCACCTTGATGCACCCTTGGCCAGTGCAACCAATCAAAGTTGAAAAACACAGGTGACTACTGCCTGCCAGGTAAGCTCACAAACACCGGCAAGCAGGGTAGAATGTAGGGAAGGAAGAGGAGTGCACGGCATGGCCACGTGTTTAGGAGGAAGTCAGAAAAGGCTTCTTGGAGGAGGGGAAACGGAGATGAGCCTGGAAGGAGGGGTAACATCTAACAGGTGGAAATGGTAGAGAGGGGTGGCGAGAGCCGCCATAGGGAGTGACCGGGCATTTTTCTAAGGGGAATTCATTATGAGGGTATTTTGAAATGTAAGTGTTTGTTTTTTTATTTGGGAAGGACAGGGAGGGAGAACCAGACAGAACAAATATTGGTACTGTGAGGGCTGTATTTGCATGTGCTGAATACATGACTGTGTCACCTGTGAGCAAATGTGGGCAGAGGAAAGAGAGTGGGCAGGCGTGTGTGTGTGTGTGTGTTTGTTTGGGGTGGGGGGAGGGGTAGAAAGCAACACACCCACAAAGAATACAGGGGCTGAATTCCAAGCCCTTGATGCCAGCTAGTCGGGGCCTAGGCAAGTTCTTTCTATCCTGGCAAGCCCTCTGCCCACCCTACCCAGACTTGTGCTGGTGTTTCCATGGCAGCAGCCACCCCATTTGCCCCTGAAAATGGGAGGCACATGCTGCAGCTGGCTCCCAGGATGAAAGAGATAAAGGATCCCTCCTCCATAGCTGGAGCTGGCAGACCCCAGTACAGCCAGAAGAGTGACCAGACCCGCCAAACACCAGGAAGAGACAGTGTGGGCTCAGGCAGCTGCCTGGCAAGTGCAACTGAGGATGAACAAGGGCGACTGTTTCTGCCCACACTGAAAAGTCAGTTAGATGTCACTCCACCCAGAGGCCCAGCTCACACAGCCTCCGGGCAGCTGGTGGGCACACCTCACCAGACAGCTGTTTAGGGGAGAACTGCTCAAACAGCCCCGGCAGGTAAGCAAACACTTAGGGGGTTAATAGGTAACTGCGGTAGAAAGAGGAACTAAGCCCAGCATCCCTCTCTCTATCTGGCCTTACTAGAATTTTTTTTAAAAATGTTTTTATTGATTTTAGAGAGAGAGGAAAGAAGAAGGAGAGAGAGAGAGAGAGAGAAACATCTATGAAAGAGGAACATGGATGGCCTGCCTTCTGAACGCCCCTGCTGGGGATCGAGTCCACAACCCGCAAATGTGCCCTGACTGCGACCTCTCAGTGCTTGGACCATGCTCAACCAACTGAGCCACACCCATCAGGGCATGGCCTTCCTAGAATTTATGAGTGCAACCTCCACGCTATCAATTTGTCACCCTCCTGGCTTCTCCAGCCACCCTGCCTCCTCAGCAGCGGAGGAAGAAGCACCCCCATCTTATTCTAGGCCAGTTGTAAACATCCTTGAAAGCCCCACGCTCCCTGAAGGATAAGGGGAAAGCCAGCTCAGCGGTCACCAGGTAAGAACGGTCCAGGTGATAACTCTGGTTCCCACCCCTTGCCCATTTCTCCTACCCGCTCTGCATTTTCTCTTTGCCCTCACTCACCTTGGTCACAGAACAGGCCACCCCAACCCTCGTCACAGGTACATTGCCAGGGGGTAGTGCAAGTGCCATGGCGACAGCCATTGTGGGGGATGCATTCGTTGCACAGTCGGCCCTGCCAGCCTGGGCGGCAGCTGTGAAACAAAAGGGAGGCTGAGGTGAGCTGAGGGCCTGGCCCGGGGATGTCCCCTTCCCACTTCCTGTCCCCTACTCACATGCACTCCGCCGGCTTGCTGCAGTAGCCGTTCTGTTCATGACAGCCAGAAAGGCAGACAGCTGAGGAAAGAAAACAGCGCTGGGTGAGGGTGGGGTGCCAACGCCCCTGAAGCCCACTCTCCCTCTCCTGGCCTTGGGGGTGCCCCCAGCTCTCCTGGGCTCACTTCCCACTCCTGGCCTCTCCAAGGAGCCATGGGTGTCTTAAAAGGAACCGGTGGCACAGGGAAGGAGAATCCAGGCTGGATGGGATGCAATAATGGGATCCTTCTAGGCTTGGCACAATGGGGAGAAGCACTCAGAAGAGAGAGTTCTGAGCCCAAACCTGTCCTAAGCATCCCCAGCTGTTCCTGAGGCCCAGCTAGTGGGCAGCCCAGACCTGCTCTGTGAGACAGGCAGGGGTTTTGGGGTTTTGTTTTTTTTTGCTCAGGGGACCCCCCCCTCCAGGCAAACGCAGAGAGCTTGGCTGCTTACGCTGTTCGCAGTACTCCCCAGTCCAGCCCGGCAGACAGGCCAGGCTGCCATCTGGCTGGCACACGTAGTGGCCGAAGTGGTCATTGCGCTTCTTGCACAGGCGTGAGCAGCTGTCCCCATAGTAGTTGTCACTGCAGATGACCCGGTAAGAGTAGCGCAGCTTTGTTGGGAGAGGGTCGGTCTGCTCATCCAATAACCAGTTCTGGCCCACAGCTAGGGAGCCCTGGATGGTGATCTTGCTGATGAGCGCGTTTGGTGGCATGGCCTCTGAAGGGGCAGAGGGCCAGGTCAAGGAAGGGCAGCCTGTCCCCAAGGGTGCCAGCAACTGCTGGATCAAACCAGTTGTCCAGATGACCCCCCTCTGCCAGCAAGCACAGTCCAAAGGAACCCAAGGGTCCCACTTCTTAGCTGCCCCGTGTGTGTGCATGTGCAGGGGGCCTGACACTATTCAAAAGGGGGACAATAGCCCTAGCCCGTTTTGCTCAGTGGATAGAGCATCAACCTGCAGACTGAAGGGTCCCGGGTTCAATTCCGGTCAAGGGCACATGCCCGGGTTGCGGGCTTGATCCCCAGTAGGGGACGTGCAGGAGGCAGCCCATCAATGATTCTCTCTCATCATTGATGTTTCTCTCTCTCTCTCCCTCTCCCTTCCTCTCTGAAATCAATAAAAATATTTAAAAAAACAAAAGGGGGACAATAGAAGGATGTTAAGATATCCTAGTGTTCTGGAAGCAGATAGGCAGGGGAAAGAGGAAAAGAGGTCAAAATGGAAAAGGAAAAAAAAATACAGAAAGAAAGAAAAGAAAAAAAAGAAAAAGAAAAGCTCTCTGTGTAGAGAGGACCCTGGGAGCAAGGGGTCCTCGGGTGGCCATCCAGGGGTTCTGCCCTCAGAGATGGGTAGTGCTTTTCTTTTTCCTTTTCAAAGTGAGAATTGTTGTGCTGCTGAAATATCCTTTTCCTCTGTGTCAGAACAACATCCCAAAGCCATTATTCCCTTTCCAAAGGAGCGGAATTCGCGAAAGGTGTAAAATACAGGAAGGGGCCCGTCAGCGGCGCTGGCAGCTTCGGCCTTTCTCACCGCCGCGCTCCCCGCGTTCCCACGCCAAAAATAACCCGCAGGAAACGCAATTGTGCTCCGAGTCCAGGCAGCGGGCGGAATCCGAGCGTCCAGCGCGGGGTGCCCTGGGAAGCGGACGGAGCGGGAGGGGGAGACAGAGAGATAGCGAGATGAGCACGGGGGTGGTGGGGTGCCTTGTGGCAGCCGGTTTAATTAATTTAATTGCAGGATACAGTTACTGCGCCCGGGTCAACCTAACGGGTCTGCGCACAGCATCGCGCACGAGCGCGAAAGGCGAGAGGAGAACCCCGGGTAGGAGGAGGGTTGAAGGATGGGGGGAATGTACCCGAGAGCCTTTCGGAGGCAGGGGACGCACGAGGATGATAAAAATCATATCCCAAGAACAGGGAGAAGAGAGGGTGTAGAACTGGGAAAGGGAGACTGGGGAGAGCCTTTCAAAGGATGAGGTCCCAGGAGAGAGTCGAAAGAAAGGATCAGAAGAGACCGCCTCTTGTTTTGTTTCGTAGGGGAGCAAGGAAATCTGGGGAGAAGGCTTTGGTCTCAGGGACCCCCCGCCCCCGCCACCTCTTGGTTTTCGTGACCTCCCAGTGCGCCCAGGCTGTGCTCACCGGCCAGGTGAAATTGAAAGGCAACTGGAGAGGGTTGCGTCCTCCGCCGCTACTGTCGTCCCGGACCACGAAGGAGTTGGTGCCCAACACAGGTGTGGAGACGCTGCCGAAGGTGCACGGCCCCGGCGAGACGACCGCTTGGAAATGCTTCAGGCAGACGCGGAAGAAGGTCCGGCAGCCGGGTTCGCAGGGCAGCCCGCTGGCCAGTAAGCCTCTCTCGTTGGCAAACTCCTGCAGCTGCAGCTGGAAGACTCCGGAGCCGGCCGCGCGCTATTGCACAGGGACCAGGGAAGGAGGGAGGGGAGCCGTCAGCTCGGTGGACGCCCGGGCTCTGGCCCAGAGCGCGGTGGGAGGGGGCGAAGGGGGCGCGGGACGTTACCTGCTGACAAAGTGCCACCAGCAACAGTAGCGCCCAACCAGACGCGCTACTGGAGGCGGCTGCCATTCCCTGGGGCGTCGCTCTCTCCACCCGCCCGCCCTGAAGCTGGCTTGGTTCGGGACGCCGCCTCCCCGTGCGTCCACCCGCGGAGGAGTCTCTGAAAAGCCAGGCTCCGCTCGGAGTCTTCCTCCTGCCTCGGCTCCCCGCTAGGTCCGCTCAAATTGCCGCGGTAGGTTATCCAGGTGAGGACGGCTGGGCGGCGGCCGCGTTGAGGATGTGTCCTCTGGCTAATCCTGGGGCTGCAAGCCGGCTAGTGCCCGCGTCCTCTGCTCTGAGGCGGCTGGAGCTGCCGCTCTCGGCCTCGAGATCCCAGCCTGCGCTCAGCGCCGCTACTGAAACCTGCGCGCTCGGGAGCCTTCCTTATATACATTGGCTCCTCTCCTCTTTCCCTGTCACTCTCCCCTCCCCTCCCCTCCCGGCCTCTAACTGCTACAGCCTCAGCGCCGCCGGGAGGGGGCCTCCGCCCCCGCCATTCCCCCTCCTCGCCAGCCAGTCAGGCACAGGTCCCCGCCCATCCGCGCTGTTCTTAGCCCCTGGGTCCCCCAGCTCCGCGCGTGCCGAGAGACCAGTTCTCCGCAATCACGGAGTTCAGCGCGGAGACCCGGGCGGTGGGAGAGTAGGAGGAGGGCCGGGGTGAATGGGACGAGAGGTGAGCGAGTGATTCCGGAACGGGAGTGGGGGCGGAGACGCGGGGGAGTCCCGCGGCCAGCGCTAGTCACCTGCTGCAGGTAAAAAGAACTTATGTCCGGAAAGCGAAACCAGAGCTAAGGGACTCCTATTTCCTGCTTCTTCATGGAGCTTCTGGAGCCCTCACCTGATCGGGCCTCAACCCGGGAGCGCCCACCCACCACGCCTCCCGGGCGCAGCGAGGAAACCAGCGGGAGCATTGACCCTCTCTGTGGCCGCTCACCGCCTGGATTCGGGCCAAACGTCAAAAGGCTCATCGGGCTCGGCGCGTGCCAGCCCGAAGACGCGTGGTCGCCGAGCTGGGGGAGGGGGCGTGGTCCCCGAGGTGGAAGCGGGGCGGGCATCAGCTGTATGGTAATGAGGGTCTGGCCACACCTCCAGTGCCTCCCCTCACCTGGGTTCGGCTTCTGCGCCAGCGCCCACGGTCTCCCCCCAACCCAGCCAGCCCCTCCCGCGTCCTGACGCTCCGTTGGTGCAGAGAGGAACTCTCCTGGCTCCAGAGTTGATTCGAGTCCAGGTGAAGGGCCGAGGCCGGGCAGACCCGGTCCTTTGCTCCTAGGGTGAGATGTGGAGTGAACTGGAAACGCTCGGGCTCGTTTTAGTTTCAGGAGGCCGCCCGTCACTCCTTTGCGGCTTCCCCGGCGGCCCCACTTCTCCGAGCGGCGGCAGTGCAGCTGCTTTCCCGGAACCTTGCGTGATCCCCGGAGGCCTTAGATCGGGGAAGGCCGGCTTCTCCCAGTCTGGGGGGGCGGGGGGTGCCGGAGA